ATGTTACACTACTCCTTTATTTGTATTACAATATGGAAGCCTATATATTTGGAGAATATATATATATAAGATAGACAGGGGGAGTGTGACTCTGTTGGTTCTCTTGGACATCTCAGCGGCTTTCGATACCATCGATCGTGGTATCCTTCTGGGACGACTCTCCGGGATGGGTCTTGGAGGCACGGTTCTGTCGTGGCTCCGGTCCTTCCTGGAGGGCCGATCCCAGATGGTGAAGCTGGGAGACGCCTGCTCGGACCCCTGGTCTTTGACCTGTGGGGTCCCGCAAGGTTCCATTCTGTCTCCCATGCTTTTTAACATCTACATGAAACCGCTGGGAGAGGTCATCCGGAGTTTTGGAGTTGGGTGCCACCTCTACGCAGATGACACGCAACTCTACTACTCTTTCCACCTAACTCCAAGGAAGCCCCTCGGGTGCTGGACGAGTGCCTGGCTGCTGTAGCTGTCTGGATGAGGACGAACAAACTGAAGATTAATCCCGACAAGACAGAGGTCCTCTTGGTCGATCGTAAACCAGATTGGGGTATAGGGTGGCAACCTGTGTTGGACGGGGTTGCACTCCCCCTGAAGTCACAGGTCCGCAGTTTGGGTGTCCTCCTGGACTCATCACTTACGCTTGAAGCTCAGGCGTCGGCGGTGGCCGGGAGGGCCTTTGCACAACTAAGACTCGTGTGCCAACTGCGACCGTACCTCGTGAAGGCGGATCTGGCCAGGGTGGTCCATGCCTTAGTCACCTCCAGATTGGACTACTGTAATGCACTCTATGTGGGACTACCCTTGAAAATGGCCCAGAAATTTCAACTGGTCCAACGGGTGGCGGCCAGGTTGTTAACTGGTGCTCCTTACAGGGAGAAGTCAACCCTCCTGTTTAAAGAGCTCCATTGGCTGCCGTTCATTTTCCGGTCCCAATTTAAGGTGCAGGTGCTTACCTACAAAGCCCTAAACGTTTTGGGACCCACCTACCTGCGTGACCGCATCTCTGTGTACGAACCCACACGATCTCTTCGTTCATCTGGAGAGGCCCTACTTTCGATCCCACCTTCATCGCAAGCGCAATTGGTGGGGACGAGGGACAGGGCCTTCTCGGTGGTGACCCCTCAACTCTGGAACTTGCTCCCCAAGGACATTAGGCATGCCCCAACTCTGGCAGTGTTTAAGAGGAGCCTGAAAACATGGTTGTTCCAGTGTGCCTTCCCAGAATAAGGAAACCCTAAGCAACATGTCCCTAATCGCACTTTACTAATGATCTAGGATTGTCTGCTCGCTCCATCTCTCTCCAAATACCTATCCTAGTTATAAGTCACCTTGTCATGCCCAGCATTTTTAAAATATTAATTATTACATTTGGCCCTGCCATAGGTTTTTATTGCGTCGTGGTGTTATTGTTACTGTTTATTGCTTTGTTTATGAGTTTATGTATTGTCTGTATTGCTGTTGTTGCTGTTTTTACTGATGTATTTGGGTTCGGCCTCTTGTAAGCCGCACTGAGTCCTTCGGGAGATGGTGGCGGGGTATAAATAAAGAATTATTATTATTATTATTATTATTATTATTATTATTATTATTAGTGTAAAATTGCTCAATAACTCCTATATCTCCTATGGAATAATTTTTAAAAGTATAGTAACATCCTACTTTTTCCTCCCTTTAATGTTTTGAGGAGCCCCCGGTGGTGCAGCAGGTTAAACTGCTGAGCTGCTGAATTTGCTGACCAAAAGGTCAGCGGTTTGAATCCAGGAAGCGGGGTGAGCTCCCACAGTTAGCTCCAGCTTGTCAACCCAGCAGTTCAAAAACATGCAAATGTGTGTAGATCAATAAGTACCACTTGCGCTCCAGGCTCTTCGGCTTAGAAATGGAGATGAGCACCACCCCCCAGAGTCGGAAACGACTAGACTTCATGTTAAAGGGAAACCTTTACCTTTACCTTAATGTTTTGAGAGAGACTGTTCAGGCCTCTTTGACACTGAACAATTATAAGTTTTATTCAATTTTAGTTTCCATGGTTATATCGTAAAATCCTCAGATTTGTAGTTATAGAAGGTATTTACAATTCTCTGCCAGAGAGCAGAAGTGTTGCACCAAACTATCTAACTTTTAATATTCCATCTGATATTTAAATGCATAAAAATTTATTAACCAGTTTCTGAAAACTTGTCTGGTTTCTTTTAATAGTTCCTGGATTTTCCATTGAAATGATCTGCCATGTTTTTTGCCTCTAGGCTACAAGAGCTGGAAGTTCACTCCTATCCCTCGTAATACATCATTTCAGTAGAACATATTACTGACTCTTTTTCCTTAATTATGATCAATCTGAAGAATCAAAAGAAGCTCATTAACTCCTATTGGTCAACTAATTCAAGTAATACTCAGTTCATAGTATCTCCTGCTATGAACCATGTATAGTTGGATTTGGTTATTTATAGCTGTCAACCAATGTTGTTTGCACCAGTTATATTTCTTCCTCAGCTCAATTGCTTGGCTCCACCTCTTCCTGGAGGAGGGCAGAGCTTTTCCTTTTCCATTCTACCATCAAACTTTCTATCAGATAGACGTGAGAAAGAGACTTGGCTCTAAAGCCCTTAATTAAGTTACCTCTCATCACCAATTCTAAGGTTTTTACCCTTGGGACTCATACTTCATGCCCAGATCGCCCTGGACAACGTTGAGGAGACCCAAGCGCCTTCAAACCAGTCCTGTGGCACCAGAGGAAGGCTTCGTGTCTTCAAATATAGGCCATTTGGATTGGGGCTGTGAATGTTCAGGCATTTGCAGCCATTGAGAAAGAGGGAACCTTGAAAAGCTTCTCAGCTGCGAAATCTCCTTGGACCCAAGACAACCAGAGACTGTAATGTATATTTCCTTTACCCCTTTGAAACTTCCAGCTTATTGCCTTAAAGGGATAACTCTTTGTGAACAATAAAACCTATTTTGAGTTATCTACAGCGTTTTGGTCCTTGGGAGTTCCAGTTCTCTAAAGGAAGGCAAGAAGCAATCTCCTGGGGAAAAGATGTCACGTCTATGTCTCTTTCACTAAGAGTTATAGCCCCCAGGCGTGACGGCATAATATTGTTCCCTGAACCAGACAAGACAGAGGTACTGGTCAATCACAGGCCGAACAGGGCATAGGGTTACAGCCTGTGTTGGATGGGGTTACACTCCCCCTGAAGACGCTGGTTCACAGCTTGGGTGTGGTCATCGCTGAGCCCAGAACCTCAGGTCTTGACGGTGACCAGGGGAGCATTCGCACAGTTAAAACTTGCGCGCCAGCTGTGCCCGTACCTTGGGATGCTTGACTTGGCCACGGTAGCCCACGCTCTGGTTACATCCCTTATAGACTACTGCAATGCTCTCTACGCGGGGTTGCCTTTGAAGACTGTTCGGAAGCTTTATTTACTATTGTTGTGTTATGTTTTTACTGTATTGTGTCTCTGAGGCTTCGGCCTGTGTAAGCCGCATCGAGTCCTTTGGGAGATGCTAGCGGGGTACAAATAAAGTTAATAATAATAATAATAATAATAAATGGTCCAAAGTTCAGCAGCCAGGATACTGACAGGAGCAGCACTCAGGACGCATACAACTCCTCTGTTGCGCCAGCTCCACTGGCTGCCAGTTTACTACCGGGCACAATTCAAAGTGCTGGCATTAGCCTATAAAGCCCTAAACAGTTCTGGCCCAACTTACCTGTCCGAACACATCTCCTCCTATGAACCATAGGACGTTAAGATCATCTGGGGAGGCCCTGCTCTCGGTCCCGCCTGCATCACAAGTACGTCTGGCAGGGACGAGTGACAGGGCCTTCTCAGTGGTGGCCCCTCGGCTGTGGAACATCCTTCCTACAGAAATTAATCGGCCCCCTCCCTATTAGCATTTCGGAGGAAAGTGAAGGCCTGGTTATTCGAGCAGGCATTTGAATAGGCAGTGTAATGAATACAGGAATATGGAACAACGGATGATGAGACTGGATCTTGATTCTACCTATGAGACGCTAATGAGATGTTATAGTTATGTTTAATTGATTGTTTATTATGTCATTGTTTTAATTGTTTTACTGTTTTTATGATGTTGAGCATTGAATTTTGCTATTGTTAACCGCTTTGAGTCGCCCAAGGGCTGAGAAAAGCGGTATATAAATGAAGTAAAATAAATAAATAAATAAATAACATTAGTACTGATAATATTTTAAATATAAATTTGACCAACTATTGTGAATTCCTTTTCAGATAGATGCTTCCTGTAGTAAGTTCCCAGGCAACATATTTTGCCACTGACTGGAAGAAGAGGTGTGTATACACCTTCTCCATTCTCCATACACTGAGTATACCGATTTCTGGCGTTTGTCATGACTCTTGCCAGCATAGCAGGCGTTATGTTGGCAATTTCTTCCTGGATGTTGGTCTTCAAATCTTGTAGGGTCTTTGGACGGTTCACATAAACACGGGATTTCAAAAAACCTCATAGAAAAAAAATCACAAGGGGCCAAATCTGGAGAGCGGACCAGCCACTCCAAATCTGCTCGAAATGTAGGCCTCAACGGCAAAAGCACACTCCTCACTGTTCCAATGCAGGATGGTGACTGAACTGTGTCAGGACAAAACTTTATACTCCCACCTCTAAAACGAGACCACTAGCGCTCCGCTACGTCTTCAACCGACTGAATGGCGCGCATTTTAAAAAAGGTCAGTTGAAACATTCACACCTAGCTCCAGCAGAGAAGAGTCCTTTGTCTCATCCTGGTCATTCCATAGATATATAAATCATTTTCCTAGTTCCAACAGACCTCACTACCTCTGAGGATGCTTGCCATAGATGCAGGTGAAACGTCAGGAGAGAATGCCTCTTGACCATGGCCATGCAGCCCGAAAAAAACCTACAACAACCCAGTGATTCCGGCCATGAAAGCCTTCGACAATACGTAAAAAAAGGAAGTTATGCTGCCTCACCCTGTATTTTTTATAATGGCACATTTACATTACTTGAAAAAGTATTTCATAGACTTGCTTTATTTCTCTTCATTCCAAAGTCACAATTAGACAGGTCAATTTACCAGTTAACAATAAACCCTACATTCCAAGATTATGATTCCGATTATTGTTTGAACTGTTACAAATTATAGCCCATTCCTCACAACCTACCAACAATTCCATATATAAATATCTGGGTGTTTTTAAATAAGATTTAACAGTTATATAAAAATTTCTATAATTACTTGGCACTGAGTTATAGTGTGTTCAAAAGTTAAGATAGTTCTTTTTTTCTTGTCATGTTGTACCAGTAATTAAAGTTCAGACTTTTTAAAAACATACTCCTTTGAATAGATTATATCCAGGAAATCCAGTCCCAGATGACATTCTAATATTGCCCATTAAAAAAAACAACAACCCTTAAACCCAATGGCAATGAAAGAAAACATGGTGCCCAAACAGAAGGAAAAAGTCTGGAAGACACTAAATATGCAGATTATCTATCGCTAAACCATAAAAAAAGGCATATACATTTATGACACAAAAATGCAGGAGGTTGAGACCTGGAGCAAGATCCATTCAAACTGCTGCTCTTTTAGGAAAAGCAATATAATAGTTCCTTCTCAAAGATTTATAACACCCAATTCCCAATTTGGTTGGTTTTCAGGATCCTTTTTTTTCTTTAATGGAATTCAAAATTCTATGAAATAGAATTTAAAAAATAAGCTAGCAGTTTGACCTAATTTCAGAGTTTTCAGTAAGATATAAAGACACCGAAGGCAAAAAAAGGATGGAAAGATAAGACACAACAACCACAGAATAATGTCCATAGGTTCTCTCATGCTAAGAAAGGGATTCCTTGCACGATGGGCTACAGACAAAAGCCAACAGCATTACAATAAAGGAAAGAGGAGGAAAAAGCCTAGTGGAATTACTCAACTGCCTACTGGGAAGGAACAATGCAGTAGACAGGCCACTGTTGCCCTTGTTTTGTCTGCAAAGAAGGAGTCCAATTAAGCAGTCAAATATAGCTATGTTATCAGATATCTAACAAAGGGGACCAGAACAAAACCCGGCCTTTGGGTCGAAGGGCAGAGACAGGCCTTTCCATGTCATGTAGTTGCATGAGTTCAAAGGTTGGAAAGAAAGGAATGAGAGCATCAAAGCCAGAACGGGAATAAGCCTCCGAGTTTATCGAACAGTCACACCAAGCTTCTCCAGCACACGCACCCCCTTCTCTTGGTATTCCTCTCTGGTCATCCAGAAGTTGTCTTTGTCTTTCATGATATCGGCAAGGACTGCACCACCGAGGAACACCATATGCTTTCGACGAGGTGGATCTTCAATACGGATCTTAAATTTCTTACATGAAGAGAAAATGGATGGCATTAGCAGTTTGCTGATCAGAATGGTAAAAACAAACACAACGGCATAACTGAAGTTCATACAAATCTCTTTAGTGGGTTTGGCAGCGACAGAGCTACCACAGCTTAACAGACACCGGCTGAGACGCCACATCTGCAGAATTCCATGCTCTCCCATCTCCTGCTGTCAAGTCAAGTTCCAGGACAGCTGCTGTTCCTTACTGGTTTTGGGGATTTATTAATGGTCTTGCTTTTAACATGGGAAATGTAATGAATGGAATCTAATTTTATATTATTCTAAAGGCATTAGATCAGGGGTGTCAAACTAATTTTATGGTTGCCTTCAAAGAGCTGTGGAATCCATGGATAAAGAATTTGTGGATACAGAGGGCCTATATAATTTTTTACATCGTGATCAATGCTCTTAAATTTTTTACCCAATTTGGGTCTTTAGATGTTACTGAATCAGGCCCATAGCCAGGATTTCGTTTCGGGGGGGGGGGGGGCTGAATTTTTTTCAGGGGGGGTTGGGGGGGCTGAGTCTGAGTGAAAGAGGGTCTAGCCTAGCAAACCTTTTGTATCATTACCCCAATACCCCCATGCATATGGGATATATTGAGTATGGTGATCAGATCATGATATGAATAAACATAACAGTTTAAATAATGCACCAGTAAGGCCTTTTCGTGAACCACCATGAGAATTTCGAGGGGGGGCTGAAGCCCCTCAAGCCCCCCCACCCGGCTACATGCCTGACTCATAGTAAATTTTTATTATCTTGTTTTTATTTATTTATTTATTTAATCAATTTTATATACCGCCACTCCCCAAAGGCTCGGAGCGGTTTACAATATACATATGAGATACATTACATTTAAAATCAAAGAAAATTTTCAATCAGCAAGATTCAAATGCCAGCCTAAATAAATAAGTTTTATAAGCTCTAAAGATAGTAAGTCTCGGAGAGCTCGTGTTTCCTCTGGCAAGGCATTCCACAGGTAAGGAGCCACCACGTGAATGCTCTACGCCCAGTAGACATCAGGTGAAAGGTCCTAAAATTGGGAACTTCAAGGAGATTCTGATTGTCTGAACGGAGTGATCTCGGGGGTTGGTAGGGGGTGAGGCGGTCCCTCAGGTACTCCGGCCCCAGGCCATATAAGGCCTTAAAGGTAAGAATCAGCACTTTGAAGGTAATCCAGTGCTCAATCGGCAACCAGTGCAGTTGCTGCAAGATTGGAATGATATGACACCTCGCTGGGACCCCTGCGAGAAGCCGGAATATAAATTTAAAACATTTATATTCCGTCCTTCTCACCCCGAAGGGGACTCAGGGCAGAGCACAGAATATACACGGCAAACATTCAATGCCGGGACACAAATTCATATACAATACATAAACATTAAAAAACATTTATCAAAATATTAAAATACACCATTTAAAACCATCCTAGCCATCCGCATCAAATCCAATTAGCCCTGTCATCTTTCCCACTTCCGCTTCATTGCCCTGTTCTTGGTAATTTAATTTTTTTTAAAAAAAAACTATTAAGTTAGAGGTTTGTAAAAAGCGTTGATTAGAACTTTAAATTGTAAACAATTATTTCAACAAAGGACTACAAATTAGACCAGGGATGGGCAGAAGATAAATTTGGGTCAAGAGTCAGTTTACTAGATTTATTTTCAGTAGCAAAGATTTCTAATTCTCCCTTTAAAAAAAAACCCCAAAACATGTGCACTACTTTTTCCTCATCTGTAGTAATTCAATATAGATTTGTACTTTAAATGTATATCATTCCACTTCAAAGTCTATGGGGAGCAGCAGACAACTTATCCTACCACCACCCTTGGCTACTAAGTTGTACATGGCTCCAATTGGTGGACTTCAGCATCCTAGTAAAGAAATCAAAGTTCAGCCCACAAGCCTGAAATTTACCAATTCGTAAGACAAATGGTGGTAAAGTGTCATTTTTGGAACATATCTGGTCATTAGTAGGCATTTAATGTGTTACAGGGAGACAAAGAGCTTTCCCTAAAATAGATGACAATAATATAATGACCGCAGTTGCTGTTCTGATCACTCAACCCTGATCACTCAACACTGTTCCATTCAACAGCAAAAAGGGAACAATGAGTGCCCAGAAGTGAAAAATTGTTATAAGCAGGCATTATATGATCAGCATCAAAAGATTTCAGGAAAAATAAGAGTAAATGTATGCCATGAAGCACGAACAAACCACTTCCTCCTTATTTTTAACTGGCTTGTTTAATTTATTGCTTTATGAATTGTATAATGCGTTTTAAGATTTTTTAATGTAATTTTTGATTGTTTATATGCTGATAGCATCATATGATGCTTGTGTGAGGCCTCCCTGAGTCCCCCTTCCGGGGGGAGAAGGGGGGGAGAAGGGAGGAGTAGGAATACATGAAATAAATAAATAAACTTTGGATAGATCTTGAACATATTTATTTCAACATCTACTATAGTCTAAGGCAGGCATCCTCAAACTCCAGCTGTTTGGGCCTCCATCTCCCAGAAGCCCTAACAAACTTGTTCAATTGTCAGGAATTCTGGGAGTGGAAGACCCAAACAGCTAGAGAGCCGTAGTTTGAGGATGCCTGGTCTAAGCAATGAGCTGTGTAAAACACTTTTGCATAAAACTACAATAAGCTCTATGTGAAGGTGGTTATTCAAACTTTACAAAGTTTTATCAAGATGGTCGCACCGTATTATTATTAGCTGCCTTGCTCCCCCTAGTGACAGCTGTGCATAAGACCAAATTAAGGCAGGAACAATGAGAAGGTTTACTTACTGAGAGTTTTTCGACATCACCTTTCAGGACCCGTTCTAGGTAAAGCTGCTTAAGTTCACGTTCCAGTCGTGAAGGCAGCCCAGGATACATAGTGGAACCTCCAGATAACACGATATGCTTATAGAACTCAGATCTAAAGAGAGAACATATCTCTTGTACTTTGAAGAACCACCATCGATGCAACAACTCCATTGTGTAAATACGAGGGGTATTTTTTAAGTAAGGTCCGTTTTGTTGTAGACACGAGTAGTTCGCGCGCATACCGCAACAAGCGCGTGCGTCATGTACCGGCATGCCTCGGGAACAAATGTGCTCAGTTTCCGCTCTATAGCTAACCTGTACGGTTCTGTTCTGTGCTTTAAATATGTTTAAGACTATCAACTCACCCTCCGCATGTGAGGTTCACTCAGTGATATGGTTTTTGTCAGCAAGCAACCTGCCTGCTGCAGAAATTCATCGACAGATTTGCGAAGTGTACGGTGATACTGTTATGAGTGAAAGCAAAGTGTGTAAGTGGGTACGACAATTCAAAGATGGCTGTGACAACATCCATGATGAGGACCGCTCCGGTCGCCCTTCCTTGATTACAGTGAACTCTTGGTTATTGGAGCAGGCGGCAAGTTTTTATGAAGAGGGTATTTTAAAATTGATTCAGAGGTATGATAAGTGTTTGAACAAACTTGGCAACTATGTCGAAAAATAGAGTGAAGTATGTACTTTCTAAAAATAAATTTACTTTTTTGAAATAAACTTTCCTTGTGTACTTATGTTCAAATTGACCTTACTTGAAAAATACCCCTCATACATACAGGGTAACCAAAAGAACCATTAAAATACAATAACAAAGCCCCAAACAAAAACTAGTAATCTCTACAGAAGGTATGGGCAAACTTTGGCCATCAGGTGCTTTGGACTTCAACTCCCATCATTCCTAAAAGCCAGTAAGCAGGCTGGGATTTCTGGGAGTTGAAGTCCAAAACACCTGGAGGGCCGAAGTTTGCCAACAATACAGCAATACAGCTTGAGCATCCTTTATTTGGAATTCAAAATACTCCAAAACTGAAAACTGTCTAGAGGAGTGTCTTAAAGAGTGACACTTTGTTTTGTTAATGGTTTAATCCACACCAACTACTCTTTAGTCCAGGGGTCCTCAAACTAAGGCCCGGGGGCCTGATGAGGCCCTCCAAGGTCATTTTCCTGGCCCTCGCTCAGGGTCAACCTAAGTCTGAAACAACTTGAAAGCACAAGAACAATCCTATCTCATCAACCAAAAGTAGGCCTACGCTTCCCATTGAAATACTAATAATTTTATCTTTGTTAAAATTGTTCTTCATTTTAATTATTTTATTGTTTTAAAGTGTTTTTTTGCACTACAAATAAGATATGTGCAGTGTGCATAGGAATTCTTTTTTTTTTTTTCAAATTATAATCTGGCCCTCCAACAGTTTGAGGGACTGTGACCTAGCCCTCTGTTTAAAAAGTTTGAGGACCCCTGATCTAGTCTGTAGCTTGAAAGAGCTCTTAGTATGCCATCCATATCTGGATTTTTTCTTTCTAAATGTTTGAGAACAAATTTTACTTCACTTTCTAAAAATGCGAATTCGTCACCAAAGGTTTCTTCTTTGAGGACTTTTATCATCTTTTCATCTCTTTTGTGGAGTTATTTTGTGTAATTCTACCATCTTCCTTTTTATATTGTCCTGAACTTATAACTTATTCCCATGTTTAGCACTCATACTTTTGGTTTACATTTGTTTGTTTTCTTGTTTCACTGCACTGATTATGATAATATTTCACTTTGTCCAGACATATAATTCACCTTCAGGATTGTTCCTATTTGTTACTTTTAACTTTTGTTTGTCATCTATCTGTCCCTGTCTAAAGAGTTGTTAGTCATACAATAAAGCACTTCTTTCCTTTTTCGCGACAGATGCAATCTTTTTGCATTCTTCTCTTATAATGTTTCTAAGTTTCGATCCACAGTTCTTATGGCTGAACAGTGCAAATTCATTATTTCTATAAATTTTTAAATTCTGGAGGGATGTTCCTTCAATTTTGACAGCATTATTGGTGGCATAACTGGATACTCTTTCCTCTAACCCAGTGTTTCTCAACCTGGGGGTTGGGACCCTTGGGGGGGTTGCGAGTGGGTGTCGGAGGGGTCGCCAAATACCATTTGAGTTAGAGTAAGATCACCGTGTTCTATGTATTGTCGAAGGCTTTCATGGCCGGAATCACTGGGTTGCTGTAGGTTTTTTCGGGCTATATGGCCATGTTCTAGAGGCATTCTCTCCTGACGTTTCGCCTGCATCTATGGCAAGCATCCTCAGGGTAGTGAGGGCTTATTGAAAACTAGAGGAAAGGGTTTATATATCTGTGGAATGACCAGGGTGAGACAAAGGACTCTTGTCTGCTGGAGCTAGGTGTGAATGTTTCAACTGACCACCTTGATTAGCATATAATGGACTGACAGTGCCTAGACAAACTTTTGTTGAGAGGTGATTAGATGTCCTTGTTTGTTTCCTCTCTGTTGTTGTGCTGTTGTAATTTTAGAGTTTTTTAATACTGGTAGCCAGATTTTGTTCATTTTCATGAACAATAGGGGTTCTGTGTGGGAAGTTTGGCCCAATTCTATTATTGGTAGGGTTTAGAATGCTCTTTGATTGTAGATGAACTATAAATCCCAGCAACTACAACTCCCAAATGCCAAGGTCTATTTTGCCCCAAACTCCACCAGTGTTCACATGTGGCATATTGAGTATTCATGCCAAGTTTGGTCCAGATCCATCATTGTTTGAGTCCACAGTGCTCTCTGGAGATAGGTGAACTACAACTCCAAAACTCAAAGTCAATGCCCAGTATTTTCTGTTGGTCATGGGGGCTCTGTGTGCCAAGTTCAGTTCAATTCCATCACTGGTGGAGTTCAGAATGCTCTTTGATTGTAGGTGAACTATAAATCGCAGTAACTACAACTCTCAAGGTCCAGAGAATGAAAACCCATCCTGCATATCAGTAATTTACATGACAATTCATAACAGGAGCAAAATTGGAGTTATGAAGTAGCAATGAAAATAATTTTTGGGTTGGGGGTCACCACAACATGAGGAACTGTATTAAGAGGTCGTGGCATTAGGAAGGTTGAGAAACACTGCTCTAACCCTTGAGTTTTAACTATGTGTTCAAAGACTCTTCTTGAAAGTTCATACAGAAAAATAAGGAAGTGACTCTTTCTCATCCAATCGTCTACATTTACACAGGCTAAGAATTGCAGATGTTCTCTTACCTGGTGTCTATATCAGCAGCTTGGATGGTGTTGAAAAGAAGCTCAGCAACACCAACCCCCTCCACATTGATCAAATGAGGCTGGAAGAGAGCCTCTGGGGCTTCAAACCGTTCACCGCCAACTTTAATAATTCTGCCATCTGGGAGCTGGAGAACAGAGTATCTGGTTACTAGGAAAATACAGAAGATTCTGACACATTTCCTGTTATCACTGGAAAACTGTCTCAGAAGCAGGTCCAAGGTTGCTTCAAGTGTGCATAAACACAGCATAAAAAGGCAAAAGAGGCTGAGGAAAACAGTGCCTTATTGCAAATATTAGCTTTAAACTTTCTTCAGCCAAGTTGTATAACTGTGACAGTTATCAGGCAGACAACAAGTCATTTTTGAACTATCTCCCATTGTCAGATAATCAATCAATTTCCATTAACGATCATACATTTTTATGGAGCACATATACATTGATCAGAGCAGATTTGGGGCTAAAGCAGCTAACTGGAATAAAAAATAGTAATAAAAAACTAAGAATAGCATGCTTTATTCAAATCAGCATTAGGGTTAATGTTGATATGCTACAGCTTAAGACTGCCATTGCTTAGCTCTTAAAGTATACTCACCGTGTAGGACTCAACTAGTACAGTTGTCTCCAAAGCCAGTTTTTGCTCCTGTTCTATGTTGTAGCCCACATAGCAAAGTTTTTCTTTGATCATACGAACGGTCTCAAAATCAGCAGAATGGTTGAAGGCATAGCCTCGTAATAAAAGCAGCTGTTATTAAAAAAAATGTTTATTAGCAGCAAATTTAGGTAATATTCTCTAAAATACACACTCTTTTGTAGTAACGCTTCAACATTTGTATGATACCAATCACCGTTACAGGCAGTCCCTGGGTTATGAACAAGATAGGTTCTGTCGGTTTGTTTTTAAGTTGAATTTGTATGTAAGTTGGAACAGGTTCATTTTAAAGTGTAACTCTAGCCAATTTTTTAGTAGGTAGCTTAGGAAAAGGTTAACACCTCTGAGGTGTTTGTTTTGCTGTCTGTGCCTCTTCAGAAAATGTTAACACACTTTCTGTCTATGTGACAACTAGATTTTGAAAATGTTGGCTTGTCGTGGAAAGAAGGATTGTTGATACAGCCTCAGCAGGCACCTTTTCCCCATGATAACTTGTACAGGAGTAAATTTCCCTTCCTGGGGGTAATTTCTTCTCACTTCCCACTGTGTCATCCTCATTTGTAACTAGGAATCATATGTATGTAAATCAGGTTATTTGTAACTCGGGGATTGTCTGCATATTTATTTTTGCTAATCTACTGATATGACATAAGCACATAACTAAGTTCAGAATATCTCTAGCAGTCGACACCTTTGTGGTTTTATGGGAACAGGTCTCTACTCTCACAATGGTCAGAGAAAGAAAAACAATATGCAAAGTTATTCTTTAGATCTTTTTTAAAAGCAGATTTTACTGCAGATATTTCCAAAAACATCTACAGTGGCTACTCTATCTCACAGAAAGTCTCCTTTAAACAAGAAAATATATTTAAGTCTTCTCAACTATACTAAACAGGATAAATGATGTGAAATCCTGTGCCTGTCAAAGTCCTACTATACTAATCAGTCTCAAACAGAAATACAAGATGATTTTGATATTAGGACATCAAGATGCCCTGCACAAGTACATCAGATTTAAGAGTCGAGATAGAGTTGCTGTCTCCCCTCAAAAATATTGGGCGGTTTTTTTTGCAATGAAGGAAGAACTTGCTTTGTCCTCTGCTTCCATTAAAATCTTCTCCAGAGCTTCCCCTCCCCCAAATAATAGAATCCTAATTTTCCCTTCTTTTAAACCAAGTCTTCTGGTACTGCCATAATTACTACCTATACTCTATAAATTCTAGAATAAATCTCTGTGATAGACAGATTCTCAATCAGTTGGCAAGCATGAAAGGAAAAGGTAAAGGGAGGAGCAAGAGTAACTCCATATAAAGCAGTGCAAATTTTAGGGTTTTTCGCACCTGCCTTGATCAACTGGCACGAAAAATTAACCCAACTGTTGTGAGTTGCTCCTTTAGCTTTCCTGAGAATGGGCACATGTTCTCCAACTTACCTTGATGAGGTATCTGGTAATATCTCTACCAGCAATATCTAGTCTCCTGGTGAGATGAGGGAGAGAGAAACCTTCATAGACTGGACAAATATGAGTAACTCCATCTCCAGAATCCACAACAACACCAGTGAGTAAACCTGCAGAAGAATGGCAAAAAGCAGATGAAACGTTCAGTGTGTAGTTAGTGCCAACTACTTCCAGAGCTGCTTTTTCAGAACTGAAACTGCTTTGGTTGCCTTAATACCTGTGCTGGGGGAAGGACTAAGGAAGCATGGCCCTTGCTCACTGTCCCGACAATGACTTTTGACAACATAAATGAATTCACCCTTCCAGCCAGGCCATTACTTAGGCTTGTGACTTTTTTTGAATATGGTGGTACAAGAGCCAAATAATAATCACATAATGTTTTGTCTTGATCTAGTTGTGAAATACATGAACTTAATTAACATACATGTTCTGCCCTTCACTGCAGAACTCCTAGAGGAACTTACACATTGAAAAGAACATCATGTTGAAAAACTTTGGACCCTTCCACACAGCTGTATACAATTCCACATTATCTGCTTTGAACAGTGTTATTTGTCAGTTTGGACTCACATAACCCAGTTCAAAGCAGATATTGTGGATTATCTACCTTGATATTCTGGGTTATATGGCTGTGTGGAAGGGCCCTCTGAGTTCTAAAAACTATGGTGAGCAGCAAGTGCAATAAAGCAATAAAACCATCATGACAGTGGCATGAATCTAAGAAAAATTAAATAATAACCTCACACCATAAGAAAATGATATGTTAGTATCAGGCAAACTTTTCTGAATATCACTGAAAACTAAAGTTAAGATTGCCCTTGCCATAATATTTCCCATTTCCAGCTTTTGAAAAAGCTGGAAAGAGAAGAGTGCTGATAAAGAGAAAAACAAATGTGCTGGATGAGATTTCTACACATATTGTGGACTGCTAAAAAGACAAATCTATGGGTCCCAAATCAAGCCTGAATTCTCCCTAGAAGACCAGAGTATTAAGACAGAAAGGATAAGATAAATATGTTCGGATAAAAGTTCTTTTACTTTACTCTAATCTTCCTCTTCCATGCATTTTTCATTGGTTCTGTACAAAAAATGTAACAAAAATATACAAACCATACAACCAAAATCACAAAATTTGCTCAATTTCTCGTCAAATTGTTTGGGAATAGCTGAGAAGTAGTCTTCCTAGCCAAACCATCCTAATCAATACGCAACAGTGAATAACGAACAAATAGCTTTATAAAACTAAATCTACAGACCTCATGCCAGCAATCTAACTTTTATAACATCCTGTTGTGTATCCTGTCATACATGGGGTTTTAGATTAAGCCTTTTCTTCCTCTTCAAAACAGAATACAAGATAAAGAAAACTATCATAAATAGATCAACTAAATCCTAGCAGACTCTTTTAAGTTGTCCTTTCTCTTACCAGTCTACTCCTTTTTTGTGGCCGCCTTTGAAGGCAAGCACAATTAGTACTTTTTTCTCCTCTAAGAAAAGAATTTGAAAACTATGGATATAAACTATTTAGCCACTCTGAACTGTGTGTATGTGTATATATTTGCTGTCAACACATGGATCTGAAGTTCGTTTCAATCGCAAAACCTAGCAATAAGACAGCTGACCGAAGCGGATTTCTGGCACTGTACTCTCCAATCATGATCTTTCATATGGTGGCAGAAAGGACTACACAGGCAGTCCCCATGTTACAAATGTCTGACTTATAAATGACTCATAGTTAAGAACAGGGGTGAGACAACAGGAAGTGAGAGAAATTTACTCTAGGAAGGGAAATTCACTCCTGGAAGAGTTATTATCATGGGGAAAAGGTGTCTCCACTGAGGCTTTCTCACCAATCCTTAGTTCCACAACAACTTGAATTTTTCAAAATCTATCACAGAGACAGAAGGGAAGGTGAAATCTTTTGAAAAGGGGCACAGACAGAGAAACAAACACCACCTTTCCTACGCAATCCAAAACTAAAATATATATCTTTTTAGCTGGAATTACACTTAAAATGTGAGTAGATCAATAGGTACCGCTCCGGTGGGAAGGTAACGGCGCTCCATGCAGTCATGCTGGCCACATGACCTTGGAGGTGTCTACGGACAGCGCTGGCTCTTCGGCTTAGAAATGGAGATGAGCACCACACCCCAGAGTCAGACATGACTGGACTTAATGTCAGGGGACTACCTTTACCTTTTATTTACTTTACAAACAAATGCAACTTAAGAACAAACCTACAGAACCTATCTTGTTTGTAACTTGCGGACTGCCTATACTTTAAAAAATATATGCTAAACATGTTTTACTTATTCCCTAAAGAAGAGCAGAAGGGCATTTCAAAAAGATCTGTTAACCACTGTGTTTGTTAGTTTGCTCTGCCAGGAAATGTTCAGTCTAAGAGCAGCTTGTACTTGGATCTTTTCTGATGGCACATGCATTTCCAAGTCATATCCACACTTGCTTACCTTGAGCATACAGAGTGAGAACTGCTTGAATAGCTACATAGACTCCAGAAAACTGGTATGTTTCGAACATTACCTGGAAAATAAAATGATCTCTTGTTGAACAATTGTTAACTGTAAATTTCATAGCAATTATGTCTTTGTGTTAATAATCACCATTTCCTAATTTTGTGTTCTGTACTTGCTAAGAAGTATGGTTCATAAGTCACAGAGATGTTCCTGCAAGTCATTCCCCTTCTTTCAAACTAAATAAAATAACTGTTTTATATTTAAAATGCAATATGGAAAGACACTCCTATAATTCCATAGTATTTATATCTAGATTTTGCAGGACGGCTTAACCTGTTTTATCCTTGGAACTTTTAGGTATTAATTTTATACAGCGAGAGAGTCAGGACTTCTTCTTGTAAGAATAATTAAATGGACAAATGAAAAACATTCTGTCTAATTTCAGCTAGTTGGCCTATACATTACAGTTTGGCAGATAATATTTTAATTGATTAATTAATTAATTGCAAGCCTATTTTTTTCTTTTTTGCTCTACTTCATTGTTTGGGGTTTATTATTCTATTAAATTCATATTGGTTTCTAATTGTTTTTCTGTAAAATGCTGTGCAAGTGTTAGTAAAAATAACTAGAGTATTTTTATTGGCTTATAATGCATGAAGCAAAAGAAGTCTCAAGCACACTGTTTTGAAGCACAGATGTCACCATGACAGTAATTTTACCGAAGTGTGCAATAAAATATAACAAAAACAAATGCTTCGCTACTAACATAAAACTTGAAATTAAGTACTTGTTCAAATAGTTCTGACAGAGAAACAAACACCTCGAACAAATAAATTACATATTATTAGAATTAAACTAATCCCACCAAGATTTTGATCAAGGTAATTAGTTAGCCTCTGCAGAGCTAAAGGAGAAATAGAAACACCAAATTTTACAATAAAGATTGAGGAACCAATTTTAGAAAAGGGCCCATTTCAATTTCAGAGAGGTTCTCAATCACCATAAGTCAGAAATTACTTGATGGCACACAACAATAATGTGTTCAACCAATGTATATGATCACATTCTTCCCCTGTTATGTTTTCACAAGTTAAAGCAACATTGATTATGATTATACCCTTCAGGCTTGTTCAAAAGTTTTAGATGTCACACAATAAATCGATACAAATGTATTGCTGATAGCAAATCACATGAGTACTCAAGCATGCAAGCTCTACACCTATTTCACTAAACGATCTAAGACCCCAAAAGCCCTAAATAATAATAATAATAATAATAAGAATAAGAATAAGAATAAGAATAATAAGAATAATAATAATAAGAAGAAGAAGAAGAAGAACAACAGCAACAGCAACAGCAACAAACAAACAACAGGAAAAACTCAGCCGTTATCAGGACCTCAAAATTGAACTGCAAAGGCTCTGGCATAAACCAGTACAGGTGGTCCCGGTGGTCATCGGCACACTGGGTGCCGTGCCAAAAGATCTCAGCCGGCATTTGGAAACAATAAACATCGACAAAATCATGATCTGTCAACTGCAAAAGGCCACCTTACTTGGATCTGCGCGCATCATTCGAAAATACATCACACAGTCCTAGATGCTTGGGAAGTGTTCGACTTGTGATTTTTTGATACGAAATCCAGCATATAGATCTCGTTTGCTGTGACATACTGTGCTTTTGTGTCTAATAATAATAATAATAATAATAATTTATTTTTATCCCGCCCTATCTTCCCGAGGGGACTCAGAGCTGTGTTCAACAGAAAAAAATTGAAACATTCAATGCCAACAAGACAGATCAAGTATCTTGTCCTCCCTTCACATCTCTTTTAAGGGCTACAGTTATGAGTGTCTTTTTGTTTATGCTGAGCATAAAGCAATTCTCAGTGAATGCATACAACTGTGGAACTCCTTCACTGAAGAATACACAGAACTTAAGCATGGGTAATTTCTGAAGCTCTATAAAAATGCAAAATGCAACTCTTGCTTCATTATCTTCTTACACATGCCTCAAAGCCTTAAGCCACACCAGAGATAATAGCACTAGGAAACATCAGTGAAAAAAGAACCAGACTATCTCAGCTTTCACATCTGATGAATTAGTCATTCATGCTATAGGATTACATCCTGTGCATCCTTGAAATTCTATCAGTATTAGCGACATCTTAAGGACACAAAACATTCCAACATATTCAATACCAATAACAATTAACAAATGTATTTTGAGCCATAAACAGAAGCACTTTAAACTTAAAAGATATATAGCCAGATAATGACACTTGAAAATAAGTAGGTAGAGACACCTGTAAGTCTCCATTATACATTTTTCCCCTTTGGTTATCTGCATAACGCAAACTGAGTAGTGAGGGCACTTCTACACAGACAGTATAATCTAGCTTGATACTGGTTCAAAAGGAACCAGTTTTGTTGCAGGAGGATTAGATTTACAGGTTAAAATCACTTTGAAGTCAGGAAGGTGATTACATTGAGCACAGAACCTTTACCTCAAACAGCTTTGCAGAGTTTTATTTCCCACTAGCCGTCCCCGCCACGCGTTGCTGTAGCCTAGTCTGTATATATGTTTTGTGTGTGTATATATCTGTGTTTGCATATATAGATAGATAGATAGATAGATAGATAGATAGATAGCATATATATAAATAAAAATGTAATGTTTGTTTGTGGGATTAACATAACTCAAAAACCACTGGACAAATTGATACCAAATTTGGACACAATACACCTATCAGGACAATGAGTGTCCATCACCTCTAAAAACACACCAAAAACCAGGCAGAATGGACTTAAAACCTCCCAAATAAACTATATATACATATACACATACACTTACATATATATCTCTATCTATCTATCTATCTCTATCTCTATCTATCTATCTATCTATCTATCTATCTATCTATCTATCTATTTATCTATGCAAACACACATATATACACATGTACACAAGTATATACACAAATATATAGATGGGTGTATATGTGTGTGTGATTGTGTGTGTATATATGTGTGTGTATAAGTGTGTATATATTTGTGTATTTCTGTGTTTATATGTATATTGAGTATATGTGTGTGCTTGGGTATATATATGTGTGTATGTATGTCTTTATGTGTCTGTGTGTATATGTGCATGTGTATATGTAAATATATGTGTCTGTGTGCATGTATGTGTGCATGTGTATATTTGTGTGTGCTTCTATATATGTGTGTGTGTGTGTGTGTCTGTATGTATGTGTGTATATGTATATGAGTGTATGTGTATATGTATATATAGTTTATTTTTGGGGTTTTAAGTCCGTTCTGCTGGGTTTTTTTTTTGTGTTTTTAGGGGTGATGGACACTCATTGGCCTGATAGGTGTATTGTGTCCAAATGTGGTGTCAATTCGTCCAGTGGTTTTTGAGTTATGTTAATCCCACAAACTAACAATACATTTTTATTTATATAGATTTCCCAGAGAGATGCACATCAGTGCACCAGAGGGTGGGAATAAAGGGAAAATGACAGGTAGATGTGAAGGTAATCAACCTCTCGCAGGACAGGAGACCAATGAGTCTGCCCTGCTGCCCAGCCATGCCTAGGGGGGGTGGGGTTGGCAGATGGACATCTAAAAAAAACACACACTGAACTTCATTGAAGAAATATGCAAATATCTGAATTTCCACTATCATTTCAATGGTTTTAATAGAATTTTAATGACATTGAAATAAAACACTAAATAAAAATAAAATTTCATACTGCAAATAAAATGTAAGAAGAGTTTTAAGCTTCTAGACAGAGCACATTTTTTTCCTGAAAAACAGTCACCCAAAGCAGATCGAGTGCAGTTTCCAGATATATTGCTAATAAACTGTTGTGTTCCATTTACAACTAAGGTTAAATTCATGAATGTTAATGGATTTATTTTCCCCTACCATTTTTTTGCACTTAGAAAAACCTGGGTACAGACCAGGTAGCAAAGCATAGCCTGAAAAGGGTGCCTACCTCTACAATCTTTTCTCTATTCTTTGTTGGATTCATTGGAGGTTCTGTGAGAAGGATTTTACAGTTTTTTGTATCAATATTCAGTTTTTCTGGTCCAAAAGTATAGTCCCAAAGATGTTTCATATCATCCCAGTTCCGGACAATGCCATTCTCCATGGGATAGTTAACTTCCAACATTGACCTCAGCTCACTTGCTTCATCTCCAACCATAAGATCCTGGAAATTATAAATGGAAATTGGTAAACGGGTGTATTCAAGACACTGTTACAGAATCTGTCTTATTTTTTTTAAAAAAAATCATACAAAATAAACATCTCTTTTAATTAAACCTTAAGTGTTTAAGGGGATGAGCAGATTTAAGCATTTAACTTAACTTGACCAAGGTATTGCATGTACATTCATGAATTCTGATTTATTCTCATGCTGTAAACCTGAGAATAATTAAGAATAATTTTGAGAGACTTACCCTTCTGAAAGCAGCACTGCACTATAAACAAGTAGCCCCTGAAACCAGTGAACATTCAAGGACTGAGCTTATAATCAGATTCCCTTGATGACACCTCCAAAACTATTTTGTTAAACATTTCTATGTGAACAGGCCCAGTGATGTGGAATTACAAGAATAGGTCATTTTAGCAGAAAATACTTTCCATGCATGCTTTGTGTGTCTGTGCACATTCCTAAATGGGAATAACGATTGCTGCACAAGCTTGGAGAACAAGTAGCAAAAGCAAATAAGGGGTTGCAGGTTGTGCACTGGCTGAAGAGTAAGAGATGTTTGATATTAGTTTGTATCAGCAAAGTGGTCTCTGAAAAGTAAAAGCCATTTGTTTCATGCCTGCAAGGGAAGTTTCTGTAACCCACGAATGCAAATTTCATTCCTTAGCTGTCATTTACATTTGCCAAACAATTAACTAGTCCTGAAATGACACAACACATTCAAGTCAGTGGTGCGACCTCTACATGCCCTTTTCTTACAATATGGGCATAAAACAAAGCAACCTATAGTTGCTTAGTTTTATGAATCAATCAGGGTCAGCTAACACCTTCAAACAAAGGATTCCCCCAGGCAGCAACCAGCCAGGCTTTGAAGCTGCAAGACCATTAAATGCTAATCAAGGTGGCCATTGCAACATTCACACTTGCCTCAAGCAGACAAGAGTTTTCTCCCACTCTGGACATTTCACAGATATATAAACCTCACTTGCCTCATTTCCAACAGAACTCACAACCTCTGAGGATGCCTGCCACAGGTGTGGGCGAAACATCAGGAGATAATGCTTCTAGAACAGCCTGGAAAACTCACAGCACCTCAGTGATTCCGGCCATGAAAGCCTTTGACAACAAACCTATAGTCTATTTTCTATTCCATCAATATCCTAATAATGTGGTATTAAAAAATATGGCATGTTGTTTGTCCTTACACTTTGAAGTTAGTGCTCCCCAATAAATAGCAATGCAAGCTAAAATGCCCCTTACTTATACAATAACAATATTATACATATAAATACAAAAGATGAACTAAATATTTAAATAATACAAAGTTTGTGCCACTGTGTCAAGCTTCAAACACATGTACACAATTTCAAAATTTATTTATCTTAACTTCCACCCATTTATGTACACCCTCTTCAAATAAGATTTAATATTATACCATTCAAAATTGTTACTACTATATAAACTCATGCATAAGTCGTTTTTGTGTAAAATTGAGGACAGGTTTTGGGGCATAAATCATGGATTTTGACACAATCCATGGATAAGTAGAGGGTTATTTAGTGGAAGGGGAAAGTGTCCATGCTTCTCTCAAGAGATCAGGTGCTCCTAGACACTGCTGCCATTTATCACCCAAGCATTCAAAAAGAGGGACAGTGCTTCTTTTAGTTTTTTCCAGAACAATTAACCTATTACTTTTTGCAAGGAGCTATTTCCTATTTTTGATAGGACTCAAGATATAGTACTCACATTGGCCCATAGGTAAGACAATCCAGCTATTTAGGGATGACGTTTTTGATTAAAATGTTGACACTTATACAGTACATTTTTGATTAAAATGCTGACACTTATACTCTGTTCACTGTTTTTAATTTTTGCAATTCATAAGCAAAGCTGGCTGAATTTTGAGAGGTCTATGGTGGATTCATTTTCCAATCCCAATTCAAGGTGCAGGTTCTCACGCAGGTAGGCGGGCCCTGAATGTTTTGGGACCCGCCTACCTGCGTGACCGCATTTCTGTGTACGAACCCACATGATCTCTTGCCTTGCTCTCGCTCCCGCCTCCCAAGCGCAATTGGTGGGGACGAGGGACAGGGCCTTCTCGGTGGTGGCTCCTCGACTCTGGAACTCACTCCCCAAGGACATCAAGCAAGCCCCCACATTGGCAGTCTTTAGGAGGAGCCTGAAAACGTGGCTGTTCCAGTGTGCCTTCCCTGAATAAAGGAAACAATCCCCTGCAAATACTCTGAGAAGCACTTTAATTACCCGTTGGGTTGCTCTTTACTTTTGATTTAAAACCCTCCAAATAGATACATCCTCTGTTCATGTCCAGCATTTATTTTTAAAGTTTTAACTATACATTTGGCCCAGCCATAGGTTTTTTAATTTTTTGTGTTTATTGTCTACCTGTGAGCTATATTAATTGTATTGTTTACTTTGTTTATTCTTATTATTTTATTACTGCTTGTTGTTTTTGATGTGTTGTTGGGCTTGGCCTCATGTAAGTCACTCCGAGTCCCTTGGGGAGATGGTGGTGGGGTATAAATAAAGTATTATTATTATTATTATTATTATTATTATTATTATTATTAGATTGACTTCAATGCATGCTGAAAGGAGAATGAAGAGGAAGCAACAGATGACCGCATCTCGGCCTATGAGCCCACGAGGGCCTTGAGATCATCTGGGGAGGCCCTTCTCTCGATCCCGCCTGCCTCACAGGCACGTTTGGCGGGGACGAGAGATAGGGCCTTCTCGGTGGTGGCACCCCGGCTATGGAGCACCCTCCCAGTGGACATCAGACAGGCGCCCTCCCTTATGTCATTCCGCAAGAGTCTAAAGACTTGGTTATTCGAGCAGGCGTTTAACTAAGTGCTATAAATGGCATTGATAACTGGAACGGAATATGGAATACGAGATTGGTTTATGATTCTACGATGAGACGACACGGATGATTTAGAGTAATTATATTATTGTGGTATTATCGATGGTTATGTGTATATTTCGTTTGTATGAGGGTCTTATTGTAAACTGTTTATATGTTGTACACCGCCGTGAGTCGCCCGAAAGGGCTGAGAACGGCGGTCAACAAATGCAATAAATAAATAAATAAATAAATAAATAATATTTAATTTACCTTATTTAAATAAGGTTTGTCATATGGGAAGAGAACATACTAAGTTCCTATTAAATAGGAAAATTGGCTATTTTTGTCCTCTCTACATAACCCCTCTTACATAACCCCTCACAGCAATCAATGTATATAGAACTGCACAATCTTTTGGGGGAATACTGAAACAAATACTACCCTACAAGAACTTAAATGTCATAATTTCAGCAACCGCAGTTTTTAGAAACTGCTGTATCCCTGCTGAAATTATCCTCATTTACCTGTGTACAGTTCATGACCATTTCACATAAACATGCAATTACTACATCCCCAAGTAATCTCATGCAGTTCTTCATGTAATCTATATACATGGGAATAATAAGAGGGCCAGATGAGCAAACAAGCAAGGAAGTCTAGGATATATGAGTGAATGGGTTCTTATTCTTTTAACATCTGTGTACTGTGCAGCAAATGGCAAAAAAGCATCTTCTTAGACTATTTTTTCTTAAGTGATCCCTAACATAAATATTAATATCATACTGTCAATTAGACCTATTGATGCTTTGCATCTAGATATATAGAGCTCGGTCACGTCATATTTGCAGAATGCATATGATAATGTGAAGGAAATAGTAGGTATCAAATCAAAGCAATAAAGATAGATTAAAACAAACATAAAGAGGACAAAATGAAAAAGCGTTATAGAGGCTACAAGGACCCATCAAGCAAAAGAGTGAATGAGAGCATATGGGTCTCCTCACTTACCATCTTTTTGTTATTCTACTTCAACAGGTCAAGAAAGATGAAGGAAATGCAGAAGTAAGAGAATCAGAAGAGGCCCAGGTGAAATTTGTATTCAACGTATTTCAAATATACATAAGATAAATAAAGTAGAAACACAGATGCAGGAAGAGATAGAAATGCTCTGAATTCAGAATACTTTACGAATAGTAAAAGAAAAGAGTACTGCTTCAGTACTCCCAAACACTACACAATATTTTTTAAAGTTTTTGTTGTTTCAAGCAAGTAATTTTTGTGAGCCTATCTGCAAAGTTCCATGCAAAGTACCACACATTACAATTTACCATACAAAACAAATAATTCCTTAGATATTACCTTGATTTCAATGTTTCCCACTTTTGCAGTTGAGCGAATAATTGGCCTTCCAACCAAAGCTGGGAAAATGTGTTCTGGAAAGTTGGATCCTGCATATCCACATTTCACAAACTATTTAAAATACAAAAAAATCAAGTTATTTTCTAGATTTGCATGTACATTATAATGGCTTAGCAGTGCTATTCTTTTATATTAGTATAAATCTAACATGACATTTATTATAAGCAGCTGGACCTTTTCCTAAATGTTTCACCACATTAAACTTGGAAAAAATGCTTCACCATATCACAACCTGGTTTTTTATATATATAAAGGAAGGAAATACTTGAAACTACGGAGAGACAAAATAAACAGGCCAGATCATTTAAACTATTTCACATGTGCACTTCTTCTGATTTTCCATTTACAGTGGCATAAAAGTTCACAGCTATAACCAAATTAGTAGGTTCCAGCTGTTTTGGTTACTGTATATACTTTCAAAATGACAAAATCCAAATAATAAGGCTTTGGGTTGATAGTAGTCTACATTTCTATGCACAATCAAAAATTTAAACACATTCCAAATAAGCTGTCATTAAAAAGTTTTAGGAAAGTGGGTAGAAATTTAACAAAAGTCATAAAACTTGTGTTGCCAATTCTTGAGGAAATCTCTAAAGAAGATGAGTACGGGAACATGAGAAAATGCAACTGTTCAGTGATTTTAGTAGGAAAAAAGATAACCACAATAATCTCTTTATTTTAAATTATGGATTTAAGAAATAAATATACAAATAGAGGAGTGGTACAAAGAAGCATGGAAACTGGCAATAAATGATAAGCTGACATGTATATTAAAAGTTAAAAAAGGTATATGGAAACAAATTGATTTTGATGTTGTATGGGGTAAATTTGTTGTAAATAGTTTAAAAAATAAAGAAGGAAGGTTACCGCCACAAGAAAAAATGAGATTTTGGACAGATGATATGTAAAAGTTGTGGCTTGAAATGGGGGGAGGGGAGCACAGTGGTGGGAAAAAAGGGGGAAAATGCTTAAGCAGAATAATAAGATTATATGTTAAAGAGGGTGATTGAATAATATGTAACTGCTATAAACAAATGTATAACAAATGTAATAACTATGATAAAATAATAAAAAATATTTAAAAAAGAAGAAGATTGGGAAGTCAGAAAACCCCTTCACAACCCATTCACCCTCCCCTTTTTCCCTCCCCAGATTCCCTTATCTTTCTTGGCTAATAGCAATTCTTTCCCACTCTGGAAACAAAAAAAAACTGAGCTGCAAGTAAGCTATGCTTTGTTTCAAATACAAAATGAATATTTCAATATGACTTTTTCCACTAAAAAACTAAAATTCAGGATTAGATCCCTCTCCCAAATAAACAAACTCTATTCCTTTATTAATTTGGGGAGACCTACTGCTCTTGAACTGAAGTAATCATAATTTAATGTAGCTTAGCACAGCTCATATTTCTGAGGACCAGGCCCGTTGCCTTTCATTGGCATAATTCTATCAACAGAAAATTTCCTCAACAGAAACATTTTGTTCTGTCAGATATGGCTGTTTTTTTTAAAGAGGACAATAATTCTAGTCTTACAACACTATATGGGTGTTAGCAAATATAAATTATATATGCCAATTTATGGTATAATGTGATTTAAGTCAGATAGTGTTATTACTGAATATACATTAAGAGACATGCAATGTTTACTATTACAGTATAACTAAGTTAACGCAAGCAATCAGTGGAATAAGATTAAAGAACACTTTAAATTTAAAAGCCTATTTTATAATACAGTAAAACTGTGTTATGTTAAATTTGTCCTTGTTTTTAACTGCCAAGTTTCTTCAATTGTAAGGCACCATCTATTATAAGATGCACAATATTTTAGTACCAATAACAAAACAATAACATACACAAAATACACCTGCAATTCTAAGAGGGACCCTATTTTTAGAGATGTCCATATAGGGAAAAGGTGTCTTAGAATTGAAGAAATGTGGTACTATATTTCAATATTAATATCACATCAGTACAGAGTTTATGGGATGGTATAGTACAAGACAGAGCTTTCTAAACTGTGTAACAATGACACATTACTGTATCGGCTGCAAAGTGTGGTTGTATAACAAAAAGTATCTTGTGCCTATGTGAAAGATGCAATAACACTGAAATGTGGAAGCTTAAAAATGCTTGATGACAAAATGCATGCATCTTTATCTAATATTCCGCTGCATATTCAAAAGCTGTGTTCTTCCCATCAGTCTCACACATAACATTAAAATGATAAGTAGCTATTTTGCTCATGTCATACATTTTAAAAAAATTGCAGGTATTTACATATTGTTACTCATAAATGGCAAAAAAATGTGCCAATGTATGCTATTATCTCACAAATCACACCTTTAAAAATATAAACAAAATATTTTCTTGCGCTATGTTGCATCCCTCACACATTTCATTATTACAATTTGAGTATGTCAGTCTCTCTTAAACGTCTGGTTTCTACTAAAACTGATTTACTGTGTTGGGAAATGATGCACGCCTTAAAAACGTGTCACCAATATGAAATGTTTGGAAAGCTCTGGTATGGGGGTTATATTATATTAGGTCTATTTTTAATAGTAGAATGATAGAATTGTAGAGTTGGAAGAAACCACATGAGCCATTCTAGTCCAACCTGCTGCCATGCACAATCAAAGTACCCCTGATAGATGGCCATCCAGCCTCTGTTTAAAAGCTTCCAAGGCAGTGACCACACTCCAAGGCAGAGAGTTACACTGCAGAACAGCTCTTACAGTCAGGAAGTTCTTCCTAATGTTCAGGTGCAATCCCCTTTCCTGTAATTTGAACCCATTGTGCCATTGAGTTCTAATTTCCAGGGCAGCAGAAGACAAGCCTGTTCCCTCTTCCATATGGCATCCTTTCATATATTTATATATGGCTATCATGTCTCCTTTCAACCTACTCTTCAAAGCAGCCAGCTTCTCTTCAACTACAATCATTCAGCATCTACCAATCCCCATGGATGCCGGTTAACCAATCACCGCCCAGTTCAAAATGGATGCGTACCTAGGTGATGATAAGCACTAAATAATGGAGAACAAAAAAAAAAAAAAAGGAAGCGAACAACGATGTGCTGCTACAATATAGGTCACCTCTTTGGGAGAAGACCAAGGGAAGGATCCCACCCCTAATGCTCTAAAGATCTTAGGTCCCTTCCACATTGAAAGCGATTATATGGCAGTGTGGACTCAGGTAACCCAGTTGAAAGCAGACATTGTGAAGTATCTGTTTCAATATTCTGGGTGATATGGCTGTGTGGAAGGGCCCTTACTTCCTGGAGGACCAAGTAATTTATGTGATAGGACCAGAGCCAAAAAGTAAGAAAGCCTGTTAGAAACTAATTTGTGCACTGTTCCATTGTCCAGATGGAGGCCAAAAAGGGACGCCAGAGAGAGATGGATCATTCATTTTATAGGAGGGGGAGTTAAAGGAGGAAAACCATTCCCTCCATTTTTGCTGGTCATTTCCCCTCCTCCATTCTCATATTATAAACAAGGGCTGTTTCCACGAAGGGGACATGGATGGGGGGTGGGGGTGGTTTTCCTCCTTCAACCCATCACCCACCCCCTAAAGTGGACTATACTTCTCTGTCTAGAGCCCTCTTTTGGCCTCCACCCGGATAATGGAACAGTAACCTAAGGTGCTGTTCTCAAGAAGGAATGCCTCTAAGGCCCCTTCTACACTGCCATATAAAATCAAGATTATCTGCTTTGATAATCTAGATTATATGGTCATGTTGAAGGGGCCTGAGAGTTGACAGTACTGCTGACAGTAAGCCTTTGAGGAGGAAAAAAATGTTATGATGAAAAAGTACTTCCTGGCTGTGGTGAGGCACACAGAGAGGAATGCAGCAAAAAAGGCTAGATGTTTAGATTATTCAGGCAGTTCCCAACTAGGACCCCTTCCACACAGCTGTAAAAAAAATTCACATTGAATGGCATTCTATGGCAGTGTGGACAGTTCAAAGCAGATATTGTGCATTTTTTGCCTTGATATACTGGATTATTTATTTATTTACGATATTTATAGCCCACCTTTCTCAGCCATACGGCGACTCAAGGCGGGTTACAGATTGGCATAATTTAATGCCAGGCATTCATAAAAGTGCAATTAAAAACAATCAACATGACAATATAAAACATATAAAAGACATTAAAACATATAATCATCAGTGTCATCTTGCTAAAAACGTTATCCAGTAACATTGTCTAGCCATTCCATGTTCATCATTCATAGTTCCGTGTTATCTATTCCACTGCATTCTCAAAAGCTTGCTCAAAGAGTATTTACTTTTTTCCGGAAAGTCAGGAGGGAGGGGGCCGATCTAATATCCCCGGGGAGGGAGTTCCATAGTCGGGGGGCCACTACTGAGAAGGCCCTGTCCTTCATCTCTGCCAATTGCAGTTATGAGGCAGGCGGGATCGAGAGCAGGGCTTCTTCAAACGATCTTAAGCTCCTAGATGGTTCATAAGAGGAGATACGTTTGGATAGGTAAGCTGTGTGGAAGGGTCCCGAGTTCTCTGAGTTCACACTGCCATGTAATCCCATTCAATGTGGATTTTATACAGCTATGTGGAAGGGGCCTCAGAATATCAAAGCAGATGATCCACAGTATCTGCTTTGAGCTGGGTTCTCTGAGTTCACACTGCCATATAATCCCGTTCATTGTGGATTTTATACAGCTATGTGGAAGGGGCCTCAGAATATCAAAGCAGATGATCCACAGTATCTGCTTTGAGCTGAGTCCACACTGCCATATAATCCCATTCATTGTGGATTTTATACAGCTGTGTGGAAGGGGCCTCAGAATATCAAAGCAGATGATCCACAGTATCTGCTTTGAGATGGGGTTCTCTGAGTCCACACTGCCATATAATCCCATTCAATGTGGATTTTATACAGCTATGTGGAAGGGGCCTCAGAATATCAAAGCAGATGATCCACAGTATCTGCTTTGAGATGGGGTTCTCTGAGTCCACATTGCCACAGAATCCAGTTCAAAGTGGAAATGGCCCTTATTTCTCAAATACAGATATATTCAAACGGTGGCCCTCCCACTGTATGGGACTCTAACTCCCAGAAACCCTGGCCAGCTTGTTCTGTAGGTGGGAATTCTCGAAGTTGGATTATCTGCCTTGATATTCTGGGCTATATGGCTGTGTGGAAGTGCCCTAAGACTTGTGGCATGTAAACAGGGGGAAAGGTGGGCCTTCGGGGGACAGGCGGGGAGGGACCCTAGTGACGCAACACACGGTGAGCCGACCCAAAATGCGCGAAGAAGTGTCTGCACCTCACTATCTATTGGGGGGGGGGCCTTCCATATAATGGGTCATCATTATATTAATTATTAACTTTATTTATACCCCGCAAAATCTCCCGAAGGACTCGATGTGGCTTACAAAGGCCAAGGCCGCCGACAGCAACAACATACAATACACAATAAAACTCATAAAAATAAAATAAAACTCATAAGCAAATAATAAACCTCAAGCAAACAATAAAACAGTAAAACAATGACACTGTGACACAATTTAAAACCTAAAGGCCAGGCCAAATGTAATAGACAAAATTTAAAAGTGCTGAACTTGACAGGTAATATGTATTTGGAGGTAGGTGCAATGTGCAGATAATCCTGAATCTCTAACAAAGTGCATTTGGGACTTGATACCGGGAGTTTCCTATTCTGGGAAGGCACACTGGAACAACCACGTCTTCAAGCTCTTCCTAAAGACTGCCAATGTTGGGGCTTGTCTGATGTCCTTGGGGAGAGAGTTCCAGAGTCGGGGGGCCACCTCAGAGAAGTCCCTGTCCCTTGTCCCCACCAAACGCACCTGCGACGCAGGTGGGATTGTGAGCAGGATCTCTCCAGATGATCGAAGGGAGCGTGCAGGTTCATAAACGGAGATGCGGTCATGCAGATAGGCGGGTCCCAAACCGTTTAGGGCTTTGTAGGTAAGCACCTGCACCTTGAATTGGGCCCGGAAAATGAACGGCAGCCAATGGAGCTCCTTGAACAGGAGGGTTGACCTCTCTCTGTAAGGAGCACCAGCGATGGGTTGAAGGAGGAAAACCATTTCCCCCCATCCATGTCCCCTTTGTGGAAACAGCCCTTGTTTATAATATGAGAAGGGGGGGAGGGGAAATGACCAGCAATAATGGGGGGGGGGAATGGTTTTCCTCCTTTAACTCCCCCTCCTACAAAATGAATGATCCATCTCTCTCTAGCGTCCCTTTTTGGCCTCCATCTGGATAAGGGAACAGTGCCCAAATTAGTTTCTAACAGGCTTCCTTACTTTTTGGCTCTGGTCCTATCACATAAATTACTTGGTCCTCCAGGAAGTAAGGGCCCTTCCATACAGCCATATAACGCAGAATATATGGAGCCCCCGGTGGCGCAGTGGGTTAAACCCCTGTGCCGGCAGAACTGAAGACCAAAGGGTCACAGGTTCGAATCCAGGGAGAGATGGATGAGCTCCCTCTATCAGCTCCAGCTCCTCATGCGGAGACATGAGAGAAGCCTCCCACAAGGATGATAAAAACATCAAATCATCCAGGCGTCCCCTGGGCAACGTCCTTGCAGACGGCCAATTCTCTCACACCAGAAGCGACTTGCAGTTTCTAAAGTCGCTCCTGACACGACAAAAAAACACCCCGCAGAATATCATGGCAGAAAACCCCACAATATCTGCTTTGAACTGGGTTTTCTGAGTCCACACTACCATATATCCCAGTTCAAAGAAGATTAATGTGGGGCTTTATTCAGCTGTGTGGAAGGGGGTCTGGATATATGGGCTGAAAAGGAGGGGGAAAGGTGCAGAGAAGTGTTCACCCTGTGCCCAGGCCCACAATCAAACACAGCAAGAGCGGGAAATGCCGACTAGATGGATTCCTGGCCGAAAAGACAAGGCCCGGAGCCTTTTGAACGAAAAAAAGAAGGTAGAGGAAAGGAGGACAAGCTTCCGCTGCTTCTCCTCCTCCTCCTTCTCTTCCTCACCCCGGTGCCGTTGTCGCAGACGACCACCTTCCTGCCCAGAGTGTCCATGTTCCTTCCCTCACAAGAGTGAACGACGGCCCCACCCCGGCTGCCTCCACCAGGCTGCTCCCTTTTTTCCCCCGGAAGTGACGGCAAAGGAAGCGGTCGCGCGCCCACTTCCGCCTTCACTGCCGTCCAATCAGGACCCGGGGCTCTGAGTTTGACGGAATGCGCCCCTTTCCCCGCGCGCACAGCTAGGGTTCGGCTGTTGCCATGGCAGCGGCGGCGGGAACTTGGGCCTTCTCCTTCCCCGCCTTGCAGAGGATGAGGGAGAGGCTGCTTCAAAAGGCCTCAGCCACGGACGCCCTGCAGGAGGCCATGGCAGGTGACCACGGCGGGGCTAGAGCAGGAGCAGGACTTATTCAGACATTAGCTTGATGCCCGGATTATTTGAAAAAGGTCTTGTTTGGTTTTGGATGCTAGGTCATATTGGTTTGGTCATTTGTAATGCATTGTCTTAGGGCCCTTCCACACAGTCATATAACCAGAATGTCAAGGCAGAAAATCCCACAGTATCTGCTTTGAACTGGAATATATGTCATTGTGGACTCACATAAGCCTGTCCTAGCGCTCCATTTCTCTGGGCCCTTCCACACAGTCATATAACCCAGAATATCAAGGCAGAAAACCCCACAATACACTATCCCAGAATACTTGTAGGATGTCAAAATACACAAAGTAATCTATGTCAGGAAAAATATTCAAGGAGCATAATGTGAAGGAGTGTGGTTGAACTTACTGCCACCTAATCTGTGAGGGAATTTCAGTTTAGGAGCTATTTTATAAAGGGACTATTAATTACAGAAGGCTTTATACATTTAATAGCGTAGCGTTTACTGTCCTCTGACTGCAGCTGCCTTTATTCTTCATGCAGGCAGGTTAGCTCTCCAAGCCCCTGCTATCCGCAAGGCTGAGGACCCCCGTACACCACGTTATTTTAACCGGGATGCTACCGGTCCCCCGTTTCTACCCACAGAGGCACCACATCTATGGATTAGAGTTACATTACTCATAGGTTTCCTGCGTACTCTCCGGCACACAGACTTCAAGAGGTTTCTATAAGCAGATGTAACTCTTCTGGACAACTGTCTAAATAAAACAAATAAGCTAAAAGACTTATTAACAGAATTGGCTCCCAGCCAAACCTTGATTCTGAACTCAGAATCAATAACCCCCTGTAGTTTTATCACTACCGGGTCCTTTTCTGTAACCCCTTTGGTCACCAATTAATTCTCTGAATCTCCACCCAGAGACTCAGTCTTCTCAGTAGCTCACCGGCTTACTGACTGACTTTCAAAACAGCTGCCCCGTGAAGAGGCAGTTGGATCTGCCCCTGTTGCTATGGCAACTCAGCTAATGCCAAGCCACCAACTCCAACAAAACATAATCCTCCATACTTACCATCCATAAACCACTGTCCAAACTACACATAACCAAAGGAATAAAATTTACACATCGTCACACATAAAGTATATGATATTCAGGATATAGTTCAGTGTATTCACATAGAATGAAGTGAATAGGAGCAACAGCTCTCAAACATAATAGTTGTAATACAGTCATCTATATAAATAAAAATGTAATGTTCGTTTGTGAGATTAACATAAGTCAAAAACTACTGAATGAATTGCCGCCAAATTTGGCCACAAGACACCTACTAACCTGAGGAGTGACCATCACTCAAAAATTGGTTTTGTCTTCTGGGAATTGTAGTTGCTGGGATTTATAGTTAACCTACAATCAAAGAACATTCTGAACTCCACCAACAATGGGATTGAACCAAACTTGGCACACAGGGCTCCTATGACCAACATAAAACACTACAAAGGTTTGGTGGGCACTGACCTTGAGTTTAGGAGTTGTAGTTCATCTACATCCCGAGAGCACTGAGGACTCAAGCAATGATGGATCTGGACCAAACTTGGCATGAATATTCCATATATCCAAATATGAACTGGAATATATGGCAGTGTGGACTCGGATAACTCAGGACCCTTCCACACAGTCATATAACCCAGAACATCAAGGCAGAAAATCCCACAGTATCTGCTTTGAACTGGAATATATGGCAGTGTGGACTCAGATAACTCAGGGCCCTTCCACACAGTCATATAACCCAGAATATCAAGGCAGAAAATCCCACAATATAATAATAATAATAATAATAATAATCTTTATTTAATACCCCACCACCATCTCATTGGGGACTCGGGGCGGCTTACATGAGGCCAAGATCAACAGCATATTACAATAAAATAAAACCAAAACACTGGGATTGTGGTGTGCTGGCTGAGTGTCAGCTGCATTAAGATCACTCTGACCAAAAGGTCATGAGTTCGAAGCCAGCCCGGGTTGGAGTGGGTTTCCAACCAATTGTGTGTAGCCTGTTGTCGACCTTTGCAACCCGAAAGACAGTTGCATCTGTCAAGTAGGAAAATAAGGTACCACCTTAAAGTGTGGGGAGGCTAAAATTAACTAATTTATGAGGCCATAAAGAAGAACTCCAGCGGGGAAGCATGCGAGGAATGCGGAAGGTACTTCATCAGTGTCGCAGATGGACGATGAAAGCGACAGCTCCCCTGGTGGCCAGAAAAAGTTAAATAGCCTCTGTGTATGTCTGTATATGTTGTATGTCAAAATTGGCATTGAATGTTTGCCATATATGTGCACACTGTAATCCGCCCTGAGTCCCCTGCGGGGTGAGAAGGGTGGAATATAAAAGCTGTAAATAAATAAATAAATAAATAAAAACACAATCACAATGCAGTAAAATACATACAACATATAAGTACAAAAAAGATAAAACAAAATCATACACAATAAAATAACAATGAGCATGTGCAAGATAAAAAACTAAAACACTAAAAATACTAAAATCAGGGTGAGACAGAGATGGAGCAGATTGTTTGTGAGGGAGAAACTCATAAAGGAACGGGGTCGTAAAAATAGACCTACATACAGGTGGGGAAATATACTCTGTCAATATCTGCTTTGAACTGTAATATATGGCAGTGTGGACTCAGATAACCCAGGGCCCTTCCTCACAGTCATATAACCCAGAACACCAAGGTGGAAAATCCCACAATATGTGCTTTGAACTGGCTTATCTGAGTCCACACTGCCATATATCCAAGTTCAAAGCAGAAAATGAGGGATTTTATTCAGCTGTGTGGAAGGGGTCTTAGAAAAAAGCCAGTCTTTGCTTTTGCTTTTTTAATGACTGCTCCCATTAGAAAATACATACGGATGTGGGTGAACTACAATTCCCCCAATCATGGGTTAATCACCCCCAAACCCCGCCAGTACTCAAAGTTGGCTACGTTAGGTCTTTGCGCCAAGTTTGCTCCAGGTCCATCGTTGGTGGAGCTCACAGAGGTCTCCGGATACAGGAACAACTACATCCATCATGTTGGGTCAGCCCCCCCCCCCCCAAAAAAAAAACCCTTACCAGTCTTTAAACTTGGTCATATTGGGTATTTGTGCCAAGTTTGTTGAAGAAAGGGCAAAGAAAGGCTATAAGACAAAGTATTTCTAGACAGAAGGAGAGAATTAGGGAATAAGACAGTCCATTTGAGAGAGTGATAAGCACCCCCTGACTAGACCTTAAACACTCTTTAAAAGCCTGTCTGAATAAAAAGGTTTGAGGCTTGTGCCTTTTATTCTCAATAATACAAGGAATTCTTTAGTGTAAAAGCATAACTATTACACTTTGCGTAATGTTGAAGGGTAGGTATAAGTTATTTGACAATTCATGTAAATATATGTGTCCAATTTACTATGAAACTGTTGTTTTCCAGATTATTGATACTGTACAAGTACCTGATGTATTAGGAACTATGATTTCATTATATATTGATGATTTTGATTATAACTTGAATTCTTTTTAATTCTTATTTATTTATTTACGACATTTATATGATGCCCTTTTCACCACGAAGGAAACTCAGAGCGGGTTTTCAAGATTCTTGAACATCTTATTCATAGAACTCTACTATTTGAATTTATCTGTAGATATTGAGAATGATGAGGCCACAGGGACCTTCGTAATAGGACGAGGGGGCTACCCTAACAAAGATGGTATAATCCAGTGTGATGCAGCAATAATGGAAGGACAGCCTGGGCGTTTTGGAGCTGTAGCAGCTTTGCATGGGTAAGTATTCTACTCAGAAACTGATCTTGTACTAAGTTAGATCCTCCACTGCACATTAAAGCTAATTGTTCTAAATGTGTTACTTGGTATTAGGCAGGTCATGACAATGACCCTTCGCATCCTACTCTCCTGTCTATATATTGTGATATAATAACAATGTGTATATTTATAGTAGGGATGTAGAAAAATAATACCTGCAGTGACTCACAGATAGGTTTTTTGGGATATAACCTGCAGTTCACATGACGAGGAAGTCACTATTTGAGCTCCACTCCCACATTTTCTTCCATAGTGTTTATACAATGTTAAAAAGACTTCTGTATAAAAACATAAACACACAGAAAAAAATACACTGATCTCTTTTAAGAGATGCATTGTTTTCAAGTTTGAATAACAATATTGTTTGATAACAAGAATTTGCATGGGAAATAGTAGTAGAGTTATTAAGACCGAACCAGGAGATGCTGTTTTTTATGTAATTTAATAGATATGTTTTATTGTTTTTAATTATGTTTTTTAAATATTTCTATGTTTAATTCTATTTTAATGTTTCTATGCAGTAGGTTTTAATTCACACTTTATTATAGTTTTCAGTGTTAGCTGCTTTGAGTTTCCTTTGGTGGATAAAAAGTGGCATATAAATATATAAGAATAATAAGAATAAGAATATTTCTGGGAGTCTAAAATCTAGTCATCCTTTTTCCATTTATCTGTGGTAGAAATGGGATTCAGATTGAACTGGCATGTTGCTTATTATTACTAGTTTACATTATTTGTCTGCCACATTTTTAGGAGCAAAGTGTTCTTCCTGAGACCCGAGTAGCTTCTCGTGTTTATCATTTCATATTTTGAATATTAGATTTATTAACTGTATTCTTAAAGGTAACCATGAAACTTGTTTTTTTAATCATACTCTTTTTACTGTTAAAGAATTGGAACTCCTCTTGCAGTAGCACGAAAAGTCATGGATGAGTCTCCTCATAACTTTCTAGTTGGAGATGGAGCTGTGGCTTTTGCAAAAGAACAAGGCTTTGCTGTGGAAGATAACAGAAATATGATGAGCACACAGAGTACTGAAGCTTATAAGGTAATGCTCTATTTTGCATCAATATTGATATGAATGAATTTGTGTGGAGGTAAAAGATTTGAACCTAGAAATACATCCTTTATGTCTTTACATATATAAAACCTAACATCAACACATACATCTACAAAAAAGGTACTGTGCTTTGCAGATGATTTGCCAGTTTTCAGCTCAAAGATGGCTAGATTATTCATGTTGATATTTATTGATCACTGCATTACTTTGTAAGTGCTTATAGATTATCTGTTTAATTAAAATCTTTCCTGGCAGTGATGTCAGGCCGATTGGGCAACAGTTGTTTGGGTCCTTTTCTCTTCCCTTATTGAAGACTGGGAAAACATTTATTCTCTTCCAGTCCGTGAGGACTTTCCCTTTTTTCCACAAATCCTCAAAAGATATTACCATTGCTTCTGAAATTACTTCTGTAAGTTCTTTTAAAACTGTTGGATGTAGTTCACCTGGCCCTGCTGATTTGAATTCATTTAGATTAGTCTAACTTTTTACCTATTCTGTTCTGCATTTCCTGTACTTCATCATCTGCCGTATTTTCCCCAGGTTGAGCACAGTTTTTGTTTTGGGAGAAAGCCAAGCCCACTTGGTGCCTCATCATACTAGACAGTGGTTCTCAACCTGTGGGTCCCCGGATGTTTTGGCCCTCAACTCCCAGAAATCCCAATAGCTGGTAAACTGGCTGGGATTTCTGGGAGTTGTAGGCTAAAACACCTGGGGACCCGCAGGTTGAGAACCACTGCACTACAGCATGGATCCTCTTTAAATCTGGTTGTTGCATCTTTCAGAATTTTGGGGTTTGTAGTTTATGGAGGAACATTTAAAGTGCTCAGCCAGGAGGGTCCTGGGCTTTAGGTAAAGGTAAAGATTTCCCCTTGACATTAAGTCTCGTCGTGTCCGACTCTGGAGGGTGGTGCTCATCTCCATTGCTAAGCTAAAGAGCCAGTGTTGTCCGTAGATGCCTCCAAGGTCATGTAGCCAGCATGACTGAATGGAGAGCCCTTATTTACCGTCGGAGCGGTACCTATTGATCTACTCACATTTGCATGTTTTCGAACTGCTATGTTGGCAGAAACTGGGGCTGACAGCGGAAGCTCACGCCGCTCTCCAGATTTGAACCACCAACCTTTTGGTCAGCAGGTTCAGCTCAGAGGTTTAACCCACTGCACCATGTGGGGCTCCTCCTGGGCCTTACTAAACAACAAACCCTAGAATTTTGCAGGAGGTAGCAACTGGATTTAAAGTGGATCCATGCTGTAGTGTGATATTAGGTTTTTGACAAGAAGGTGTTCAGTAGTTCTGCCTTTTTTCTGTCTCTTGTCAGCATTTCACCATCTTCATGCCATGGCCATACCAGTTCTTTGTTCTTCTATAATGGTATAAACTATTCTTTTTATTTTTAACTTCTTTGGCAAGTTTGAGCCTGTTCTGCACTTTAGATGTTCTGATTTCCTCCTTACACATGCTGGCTATCCATTTGAATTTCTCTTTGTTGATTTCCCTCTTTCTCATTTCTTGAGCATGTCCCTTTTAAATCTTAGCTTAGTCGATGACAATAAGTAATTAAAAATAAGCTTTGCTTCTGCCTATTTCTCTATCAGTCTCTATCCAAATTTAATGTTGCTTCTACCCATTCTGATAAAGCTGCCCGGGAAGTTATGCTTCTACTCAAAGTAGTGGGAAATCCCTGTCACTGTACTTCCCCTGCTTCTTATGGTGAATCTACATTAATCCAAGGCCAATCTGGTGTGTTATACAGATTGGGTCACACAGGGACTCTCCCACCCTCACTGTCCTCTCCCACCCTCCATGTCATGGCAGTCACTGGCTGTGACATTGGTTCTACATATTGGCTGTCATGGCAGTAATGTCATCCAGAATCCATCCCTCCTCTTTCCCCTTTCCCAGAGTGCATCATCGCTCCAATTGATGTCAATGCAGGCAATAGCTGACAAGTAGGACCTGTGTTGTAACTGGAGACTGGGGCAGTCACTTCCATTCTTATCCCAGGCTGCCTGAGCCCAGGAAGCATGGGACAGTTATGACCAGTTCTGTCCTCAAACTGACCCAACTGTTCCAATAAGCCAAAATTCGGACTATCCCCAAATTGTGGATGATATGTGGCAAGACTGTGTTGAGCTGCATTAACCAGTTTGGCTTCCATGGAGCTGATCCAGGCCTATACCTATCCAAGTATCAGTGTGGATGTGCCCTTAGGCTCCATTACACTCACCATTTAATTTAGTTTCAAACTAATATGAATAAAGGGCTTTATTTAATGAACCTCTGTGGCAATTTGTTGTCTGGCCACTGCAGTTTAAAGCTTCAAACTGCATTAAATCATCTGTGTTGATAGACCTCTGTCACTAATCCTCAATTTAGGCAGAAGTCTAGGATTAAGATACTGCAAAAGAAATAATGTGACAAACAATCTCAATATGTAGCCAATGCATATACAATTACTCATTACCAACTAAGTTTTTACTTGTAGATAAAACTATTAGATCTTGGTAATATTTGAATGCATAATTAATTATAGTCTTTGAATTTCTATAGGAATATTTAGAGAAGGGAAAAGCTGTGAAAAAACATGATACACTAGGTAAATATTTTTTCATTATTAAAGTAATACTTTCATGGCACAAGCCAAATCTTCCAACATTATTTTTAAATCTTGGACGCATTGCTGTGACACTTTAAATACTTTTTTGGATAGTTCATAATACACATAAATACATGCATGGAGTAGCGACGAATTAATGATAGTAAGCATTATTGATTTTGTGAAGTGAATGTTGGGACAGCACATTTTCTATCCATATTGAACTTCCTTGTAGCAAGTATGTAGGCCTTTGTGTAGGCTAACATGCATGGGAGGTAAACACATGTGTCTTTCATGATATCTATATACAGACATACAAACACCATGAACACACACATAGTGAAATAGATCTGTAAAATTATCAGATCATAATGTACAGCAGAAGTAAATTTCCCCTCATATATCTGTATAGGCAAAATAACTTACACAAAACAATTTTAATCTTCTCTTATTTTAATATATATCTTCATGATGATAGCCATGGAGCTTTCAATACATGAGGCCTGGCAAAATTAATGCAGAGACAAGGCAGTGAGGATGATATCTGATTTATTCTCCTATCCACTCTTTTCAAGGCTCAAGAGCCCAATCGTTAATACTATATTAAGGATTTTTTGGAATCACCAAAGTCATGCTTTCAATAGATCATATACCCAAGAGCCTCCAGAAAGATAAAGTCACTCTTTGTGTAGTATTGGGAATTTCATTCTAAAAATGTTACTAAGATTTTGCTGTGCACGAAAAGTTGCAACTATATTCACCATAAAACAACAAGAAAAAACGAATTAAAAAGTATCTTTTGTGGTGCACCTCTGTTGGCCCAATTGAAAGTTACAAAAATCTCACATTGGCTTTCAGAGCTCGTAGGCTTTTTATCAGAAAATGAAAGCATGCAGGGAAAGAAAACTGATGGTGTTGTGGTCAGATCGTCTACATTTTGCTTTGGGAGTGAATATAGGAAATGGGTGTAGATTAAAACTAAAACCAGTCCCCATAAGTATGATTTGAATAGAAACAAAGCAATAAAGTTCAGACAGTATAGTTTGACATCTCTATATGACATCACACTACCCAATTTTCATTGATAACGGTGTGTTCCCATCTATTATAAGGCCGCTGCACCAAAAAAGGGTGAGAAACACATTTTGTGATTGAAACAGGAAAGCATGCCAGTTGAAGCAAACTTGTGCAGCTTTACTTTGCATTAGAAAGAATCTATCCTCAGAAATAAACCTCACAACTGATGATGATTGCAAAGTCCATTCCCTAAGAAAATGTTTGTGTTCTTCTCTTTTAATTTCTTCATTTAGCCTCAAGAGGGTATTGTGACTTAATATAGTTCAATCTAAATAGAAAACTAAACATTATGTGTAAAGGAAACGGTGTGGAGAATGAACTCTTTCCTAACAGTGTTTCCAATAACATTCAGTGCAATATGTGTGTAAAAGAGAGCAAGTAAATAGAGGGATGTAACTGACAGCTTCTGTCTACAAATCAAGTACATTTGCTGATTTGAAAATGTAAAGAAACTTTTACCCTAAACATTTGATTTTTATTTATTTTATTGATATATGGTGTACCCTTTTTCAACAGAATACTAGATACTTGTTTTTGTATCTGGATTTGTTTATTTAATTTTATGTTTGTTTTAATATATCATTTCTTACCTCTTTGAAGCTGCTGAATAAAGCCACTCACATCGTCATATTATTATTATTTTTTATTATTAACTTTATTTGTACCCCGCTAGCATCTCCCGAAGGACTCGATGCGGCTTACATAGGCCGAAGCCTCAGAACACAATACAGTAAAAACATAACACAACCATAACAAAAGCAAAACAAAATAGTTAAGCAGAATAACAACAACAGTGACAATACATCAGGACACTTTAAAACTGGGCCGGCCAGAGCAGTGGGGTACAGGGTTAAAAGTGCTGAAATGGCAGGAGGAACGTAGGATTAAAATAGTGCGGTGTGCAGCAATCTTAATTATACTAAAGTGCTTCTAGGACTTGGGACTTGTCATAGACAATTATCCAGTTCTAAGTTTCCTCGGTATTTACTGATGTAGAAGTTGTTTCTGTGGAACTTGTTGTGATGATGTGTAGAGTTTCAGTATAATCTTGTAGATATTTTCCAGCACTTTCACTGAGTTCAGTGGGTCTTTCAGATACATGGACTAAGACCCCATCTACACAGACTATTTAATATAGTTCAATACTAGTGGCCAGAGAACAAACTCCTACAAAAGCGGCCAATAGAAAGCCCTGGTTTCAGGACTTCCTCTGTAATCATCTGCACAGCAAAACCACTTTCTTAGTAGTGGTTTGAAACTGTATTGAATGGTCAGTGTAAATGGGTCCCTAATTGGGTTGGATTTAGACTTTGCTAGACCAACTTCAAAAAATGACCTCAAATTTTGTGCATTTTTTACTTGAATATAAGTTCTGTGAATCCAGTGACATTCCCAAGGGTCTGCATATGATATAACTTATTTCCTTCTGGGCCGCATTGATACCCAAATAGCATGTCTACTCATCTAAACACATATAAGACCAATGTTAGCACAAACACAAAAAAGCATGCAGGGTTTGTGATATTAGCGTGGCTTGTCTCAAAGTGTATCCTATATACTAGCTAGAGCGTAAATATATATTTTTACTAGACATCTAGTTGTGAAGTGACATGTAAATGCAAAAGTTGATTCGTGTGGAAGTCATGACTGTTGAATGTCACAATGAATGTATGTAATATGCAAATCTGGATCTGTTTCCCCCCCTGCAATCTCCATTTCTGCATTCTCCCCACCTCATCATTCAAATTGTCCAGATTGGTCATACTTACCCATTTACATTATTTTTAAAATAAAAGAATCACAAGATTAGTGAGCTTGGGATAAACAGAGGGTGCCACCAAGATTTCAGTGGAATTTCAAGGACATTTCAGAAAAATATTACTTTTTCATGAAATTTCATGATGTTTAGTTTCAGAAGCTTACAATATATTCATATTTTTCAGAACATGAAATTCCATTATTGTCTTTTCAACAGGTTTGATTGCTTTGGATGTCTATGGAAACATAACAGTTGGTAAGTGAGAATGGCACAAACCTAAAAACCGATTACTTTCCATCCATCCAGTACAAAGATGT